TTTTTTGGGAGGGTCTAGTTATACATTGGTCTGTCGTTGGAAATCGGTAGCTACAAAATGTCAGATTTTAATTAATTTCTTGATTGTTGGGGGCTTCAGTTTTGGATGGAATGGTTACGACATGGACACAGACCACAAAACCAACGAAAGAATTGGGGCTGTTTCACATGACGAGTTGAGTGCGTTTGAAAAAGTCGACAACGAAAAGAGTACATTGGCGTCAACCTACCGTGGGCTGTCAAATATCTCAAAAGCGTTCTTAAAAACCCAGGAGAAAATGGTGGATTTCGGAACACATGAAACGGCCACTGGAGGAAAGCTCTTCCTATAACGTAGTCCTACCCGTGAACACCACAGCACCACCTGCAAAAAAGTCTGGCATGGAGTTCATGGAGAGCTGTTTCAAGAATTGCACTTTTAATGGCAGCATGAACATCCACCTTCATTCTGAACCCAAAATGTTTCAGCACCATGGACAGCCTGATTTGATTTGTTCCGCTAATCCCACACAGTGATTACTCAGATATTTAAATAGCCTAATTCAAGAATTGTTTTCAATAAATTGTTTTCAATAAATTGGTTAATAATATATTATTTACTATAATTATATCAATAACTGTAAGCGGGGTAGCAGGAGTGTTTGATCAGCTATCGTTACCATGGGAACTACTTTCTAGGAACTACTTTCTGACGGAGATTAACTCAAGCAGAAAGCGTAGGTTTGGGAGCAAATTAGCCCACATTATGAAATTATTTTTGCGATATTGTTGATTACAATGATAGTTTGTGTAATAGAATCGCAATCATACACTTGAGGCTCCAGTACGGACCGAGGCGCTTACTGTCGTACCAATAATGACGTTCAAGAACAGCCTCTCGTGTATGATTGCTTAAATATAGAATATGTCTCCAAAAGTGAAGAAGAATAAACAGTGTTTGTGTTAAACTGATTAACTGACTAGATATTCAAATGTCTCTCTGCCCTCCAGATAGCAGCTCCTTGGCCTCTCAGACGTCCAGGGAGAGCTGTGATAGACAAGTGTTCCAGAAACCCCCGTCAGGCTGCGAGAGGGTAACGTACCCCGCAGGACAGAAGCTCTCAGCAGGTCTCCACCACACTCCCTTCATCTTCCCGGAAGGCTTGTCCTCCATAGAGACCCTGCTCACGAACATCCAGGTGAGGCTCTGCCGGGGCTTTATTGTTATTATACCCTGAGATGAATAGGAAGGGAGGTGAGCCACTCTTTGGGATTTCCTGAAATGGTAAATATCAGAGGAGGCAGACATTTAGGATGTGCAGTAATTGGCATGGGCGTGTGCTGACCTGCTTCTCAGATTGTACATGTCTTTGTTATCGCGGAGTCAAAATGAAAGCTGGCTGGGTTTTCACAGGAAGAAAAAAAAAACATGTTTTCAACCTCATCTGACCCTGATCGCATGTAGTTAAAAGATCAGTGTTGACTTTCATGAGGCTGGAATCTGATTTCTTTATTTCTTTATTTTTTCTGCTCCTGCTTGAGTAAATCCAGGGATTACACACCTGAGTGAAACATTGCCCAAGGAAAGAAAATCTTTGTGATCTCTTTATTCTTACAGTGAGATTATTTAAATGCTTATTTCAAAAAAGCACTCTGCCTTTGTTTAAGTTATATAAATACAGAAATATTTGCTTAGGATTAAAAGGTTTCTCTGTGAAGTGTTTGAAGCCTCTCCTGGCTTCTGTTCAGTGTATAACCTGTTGATGTGTGTCTCCAAGCAGGGTCTGCTGAGGGTTGCCATAGAGAACGCCCGGGCGCAGGAGAAACAGGACCAGATGGAGCGGACGGAGCTGAAGATGGAGCTCGTCAGAGAGAGGGAGCTCAGAGAGACCTTGGAGAGACAGCTCAGCATGGAACAGAAAAACAGAGGTAGGCTGCTCCACATCCAGCACATACTATAGAGGGGGAAATGCTAAGGTAGACCCTGAAGACACAGCAGAGAAAACCCTCAGCTGTCAGGGCTTAATTAAGATTTTCAACTGGAAACGATTCGAGTTCAAGCCCCTTTATAGAGCTACTTCAAAACATTGTTAAATTACCTTCATGTTTTTTTTTTTAACACTAGCAACAAAGTGAACATTTGTATATCTAAACAGAAAACTCTGCAGTCACACCTGTCAGACATCCTCTGTGAAAACACCTCATTTGATTTAATGTAGAGTAAACTGTAATTTCAGTATAAGTAATCTGAGCCAGGAACACGTTGGCCTTACAGAATATTACTTTAATATAAAAATCAACCAAACAATACCTTTAAAGAGTCAGGAAAGTCAGGAAGCAGAAATATAATAAACACAGTATCTGACATATTTACTTGACATCCTTTGTCATCTGTCCTTCTTTTATATCTTCTTCTTTTTCTCTTATTTTCAGTTCTGATCCAGAAGCGCCTGAAGAAGGAGAAGAGGAGTAAGAGGAGGCTACAGGAGGCCTTGGAGGAGGAGGTCAAGCTGCGGGATCAGGCAGAGCACACCCTGCTGCACACCGCCGCCACACACACAGGTACAAACTGGTTTTGGAAAAATATCAAGACTTTGTTTTCGTTAGCTTTAAATGATCAAATCCCATTTTCATATTAAATGTGTCCATGCCTTCAGTGCAACATAGCCTTGACTGTTCATTTGCCTCTAATTAAGTGTCTTTATTAATTAATGACCAAACAACAGGCCATCAATCATCAGCAGCCCCTCCCCACACAGAATCTGTGACCCAGGACGTGGATGGGAGCAATCACGATGACAGCAGGCTGGACACCAAGCCCACAGTACAAGGTACGGATTCACAAAACAAAAACGGCTTCCTTCTGTGTGTGAAGCGACTGTATTCTGATCAGTAAAAAGGTTAGAGTTGTGCAATTATTAGACAGAAAATACAGCTGTCACGGCTGAAATCAGAATCAGGATACCTTTATTCGTCCCACAGAGGGGAAATGTACATTTGTTACAGCAGAAAAAAGCCAAAGACAGCTTAATGTTAACTAAGAAGCATACATAAAAAAAATATTAAACTAAAAAGTCACCTATTGTCAACAGTTTGAGATTTCTTAATCTATCATTCTGAAATTGGCTGTGCGATCTTTGAAGTGTGTCTACTTCTTTAAAAAACTATGATTTAATTTGTTTAAAACCAAAGATGTCTTAATTAACATTTAAAGGCACTGCACCAAGTTTTTTGTGAATAATTTCCTTAGTGGTACATTGACTGAATAACCATTTCAGGGCAAGACTTGTAAAATAATTTCCATATACCTGCTGCTGGGGATTTATTTATCAACACATTTCATTATTACTCACAGCATTTATTGCTTAACTGACCAGTCAACCGGGAGGGTTTTTTAGAAAGGTTTCACAGGGAGTCCGCTCCTGAGAAGTTGAACAAAATTAAATGAAGCATGAGGCAGTTCACTGGGGCTACCATTTTGATGAAGATGGGCGTTTAATATATTTATTTAACGGACATTATTGTCTTCACAGGGATAGATTAATGAGAAATCCCACATGCAACGTCTTAAATGAACAGAAAAAGAAATGGCCGTGATCTCTCGCCCGGCCTCATCAGAGGAGAGCAGCCCACCTCTGCTCCGCGCCGTGCCAGGACCCCCGCACCAGACAGCGTGCTTGTTCAAAGCCAATTTTTAATTGAATGTCAGTGAAGCAAGAAGAGAACTGGCCACTAATTAACGCCTGTCTTAATTGTCCTCGTGACGAGTTTGTTTGGACATCATTTGCATAATTAACACCCAGTAATAAATCATTTAAAGGGGAATTGTCTGTCAGACAGCAGGGCAGGATGTGCTTCCTTTGTGCCAGGAAGTTTTATCGCCAAAAACAGGGATCAGGGGCCGAAAAACTGAGCTTTTCTTAATAACGATCTTTTATTAATGATCTTCGGTCAAGGTTGCAGCAGACCTGTTTTAATATTTATATGAATGAATTAGTAACGTACAGCATATGTCCTCCTACTGTTTCAGTCACTGTGGTCTGTCCTGAAGAATCCGTCTTATTTCATAATAACATAGAATTGTGATTTTGTTTTTATTAGACTGGATTTCTTTCTGGATTTCAGAGGGCAGAGGTTTCCTGCAGACCAGCGGGATGTACTGAAGAGGAGGACGGACGGATGAATGGACAGATGAATGGAAGAATAGAGCGATGAAGATTCCTCATTTAAGAGAAATACAAAGGACAGGCATGCTCAGTCGCGTATCGTCGTGGCATCTGAGAGACACATCTGGCCTCCTCACGGGGACTCCCCTACATTTCAAAGGGTGACATTTGAACTTTTCTATTGTTCACTTGTTTAATTTATTGCATCTGCAAATCTCCGCCGTACTGGGAACAGTACTTTATTCTGATGATGTGTTTGACTGTGTTTCTTTCAATCAAGGTTTTTAGATCCTAGATGAAAATGACCATTGTTGTTTTTTTTGTCAGTGCTGTTTATCTGGACACAAGTGATGAATATAACTTGCAACAGAGTTGTGTACATATATATAGTCATCCTTTTTGTTATTATTATTACTATTATTATTATTATTACCACAAAAACATAAAGGCATGTTGTACAGTCAGTAAATGACTTGTATTGTGTATGTTATGCAGTAGTGCTGTTTGACAATACAAACAATACAAATCCTTTTTATTAAAATTGTGTCAGTGCTTCTTTCTTCAATTACATTTGTATTCTCTGAATGAATGGTCGCTTATTTAAACTTTTATAAGGGACTTTTAGTTGCTTTTCCTCTGAAATAGATGGCACCTGTCTTAAATGTGGATTTATAATGTCATTGTTTTGTTGTTGTGACAGACACTTCTGCATTCTGTGTCACAGCAACCCCTTGCGATTTGATTTGCATGTGTGGAGGAGGGGCAGGTCTATGTGAATGCATGTCTACACATATATGAGGGTTTAGAGAGTGATGTGACATTGATTCTTGCACCATCTCCAAAAACATACACGTAAGTATCGACAGACAGACAGGAAGGTGGTGAGCAGGGTCACATGTGAGCTGTCCTTTAGTGAAACATGATGACCATGCACTCCCTCTGTGGCTGCACTCATTTTATATCATGTTTCTTTCTCAGGAGAGAAACAGGCTTAGGGACTTCTCAAGCTAAACTTTGATCTGTTAACATTTAAGAAATAGTTTGGTACATTTATATAGAGATAACACAAGAAATAAATCAAGAATTGTGAAAGAAAGAACAGAAAGTGGTGGCTATTTTATAATCTTTGCTGGCTACATTTCATAATTGTAATAGATGGAACTGTACCTAATTGCAAACTATTGATTTTTCTTGTTTTGAAATACAGCCCTAAAAATGTCTAGTGATATAAATCAATTATATCCAAACTTGTCATTTAGAATTGGTAAAAAAGTATTTCTGCATACACATTAGAGAGCTATTTGACAAAGTAAATCTGAGCTGTTTTATGTCAATAAAAGCAAAGAGGCTGAAGTGGTAAAAAAAACTAAACCAAGAGTTCCTCGACCGATGGGCTAATGAATGAACATTTAATAAAAAATATAAAGGGCCAACGATCACAAACGCTGTTGATTGTTTTAAGATATTTGTAGCACTTAATCTACTTTAAGACACACGGTAGATGCTAAGAATGTGCAGGTTTCTGAGTCACAAGTAATAAATCTCACATTGTTCTGAAGTCCTTTGTTGTGCCCAAAGAATCCTTGAAGAACGCCACATTTTTCTCATTTGCAACCTTGTATAAATGTTCAGTGCCATTTCCTGGACACAGGCAGATAAGCTATCACAGCAGGGCTAAAACAATACCTCGGTTACAAGCTATTCTTCCTGAATACAGAGTGGCTGACAAGTGAAAAGCAATAATTCACATACATGAATGTGTGAATGAGTCATCAGCTTTTTAGATGACCACCTCAGAGGCTGTCTTAAAAAGGTTTGCAACTTCATTCAACACCGCTCTACTCTTCCACACTCTCACACACACAAACAAACAATCACACACACACACACACCCTTCACATCTCACAGAGTAGCATTGTCCTGCCGAGAGATGTGTAATGGAAAAGATAAATGGAGGATAAAGCTAAGGTGACAGGACGGAGCATGCATGTGTGTATTTGCATCTCGTGTGTGTGTGTGTGTGTGTGTGTGTGTGTGTGTGTGTGTGTGTGTGTGTGTGTGTGTGTGTGTGTGTGTCTGTGTGTGAGCCACGGGAGTGTAGTTGGATGCCCTCCGCTGAGCTCGCCAGCACCTGCTAATTACCTTTCTCTACAGAGCAATGCTTTTAGCAAGAAAGAGGGAGAAAGTGGAGGAGGAGGGGGGGTTGCTTCTCATCTGTGAAACACCTTGAATGTGACAGTTGCCAAGACGTGCGGCCGAGGCGGAGTAGGGGAGGTGGGTGGATTTGGAGCAGAAGATGCTGTGGTCAGCTAAGTGGAGAAAACACTGTCATTTGTCACAGACAGAGAAAAGTGCCAGATTTCACATCGCACGTTCACACTTGTCTCTGCTCCAGTAAGCGCCGGACTCCCAGGACGTCTCCGTCCTCAGTGGCTCGGATGACAGTAAACGCAGAAAGTGAGCAACTGCCTGATGTTGGGGGGGATAAAAATGCAGAAAATGGCTAATCTTCATCTCCCCTACTGTCACGAAACGGGAACACGCAGTTCTCAGGTTTACAAACAGATGGTCATCCATAATGCAGCTTCTTAGCTGTTTTTATGGGAGAAGTCAAGCTGTGATGCATTATCAATAGGCAGAGTGCCATCTAATAAAGGGTAACCACATTTTCAAAAAACAGGACTTCTGTGTAGACATTAATTAGTGTAAACACCGATTTGCTGTTGGGCCTAATATCTTTACAAGGAGACATTAATTAAATGTATTAGTAAGCTATAAATTATAGACATTTCCATTCAGCCTTATATGCTCGCTAGAATCATCTTCCCTTTGCTCGTTTGAAACAATCATGATAAAATAATGTGTATGTCGGGGGTGATGGTGTAAACTGCATTAGTGAGTGGCACAGAAATAGACAGTTCATCAACTTAATTTACATTTTAAAACAATACTCTCAATGCCTTCACAGGAAGGACTAAAGAGAGAGAAAGATATCGTATGACGTTTGCACAACGTATGGCTTTGCTTTATTGGCCAGATCACCATTGTAAAAGAGATGTTATCTAAATTGGTGTATCCGGTGAATACAAATTAAAATGAAAGTTGAATGCACGGATTGGAAGTTGCTTTGCATAACAAAAACATGTAAGATGTAATTTAAGGTATAGAAAATATATAATAAGAAGGGTGTAAAAAAAAATACAAAATATTAAATTATGAGAAAAAGACAAAAAAATGAAGTATGAGACTTTCGTTTCTGGGACCTACATCTTTAGAAATAGGTCATGAATATACTTTAAGTACTGTTTTGTTTTTTTGAAACAGCTAGGTGTCCTAATCTTTTAGGTATTATAAGACGTAACTCAAACAGTTACACATTTCTTGGAGTCTATTTTCAGTTGCAGATGTTGTGCTCTTCTGAATCTTTTAAACATTAAAATGGTGTATGTGGGATTGATTTAAGCAATCATTCTATTACACAAACTATCATTGTAATCAACAATATCGTAAAATAATTTCATAATGTGGGCTAATTTGCTCCCAAACCTACGCTTTCTGCTTGAGTTAATCTCCGTCAGAAAGTAGTTCCTATAAAGTAGTTCCCATGGTAACGATAGCCGATCAAACACTCCCGCTACCCCACTTACAGTTATTGATATGATTATAGTAAATAATATATTATTAACCAATTTATTGAAAACAATTCTTGAATTAGGCTATTTAGATATCTGAGTAATCACTGTGTGGTATTAGCGGAACAAATCAAATACGGCTGTCCATGGTGCTGAAACATTTTGGGTTCAGAATGAAGGTGGATGTTCATGCTGCCATTAAAAGTGCAATTCTTGAAACAGCTCTCCATGAACTCCATGCCAGACTTTTTTGCAGGTGGTGCTCTGGTGTTCACGGGTAGGACTACGTTATAGGAAGCGCTTTCCTGCAGTGGCCGTTTCATGGCGTGTCCCGGACCGGAAAAAAAAAGCGCGTTGCTCCACATCTTTCTGTTGTCTAGAGATGGAGCCCAGTAGCTGCGAAGCGATGACTCGTTTTTATGTCCGCTAACGAGAGACAATGTATAACAGTGTAACGGCTGTGTGTCGCTAAACGTCGCTATGGAAACCACACGATGTAGGCTCATGGAAGTAGTTTCGGTAGGCTAGTGGCATGTGTAGGCCACTGGATACTTTGTGATTAGGCAGGTTCTATTTGATCGTTGTTTGATCGTGGAATCAAACACGCCTATTGACCAATCAGAGAGCTTGCTCAAACCTATGTGTTATAGAATGTATCATTCAAATCACAGCAGCATGTTGTCGTTTCGAAAAGGAGAGGCTTATAATCCTTAGAATATTTGAGAACTGTTACTACTTTGAGTGTACACATGTTTTACCAACACAATTCTGTCTTACACTT